AATGAATGATTATATATATATATATATATATATATTAATTAATTAATTAATCAAAAGTAACAGTAAATACAATTATAATGTTATAAAATATTTTTAATTTTAAAAATGCTGAACTTTCTATAAATGAAAGAATCATTTAAAAAAAATAGTATCACTGTTTCCACAAAAACATTAAACAGACTAACTATTTTGCACATTCATAATACCGAGCACCAAATCAACAGCATATTGTAATAATTTCTGAAGTTTTGTAATGAAGTAATGATTTCTCAAGTGCCATTGAAGATTAAAGTAATGGCTGAAGAAAATTCATCACAGGAATAAAGTACTTTTTAAAACATATTAAAACAGAAAAACATAACTTTATATTGTAATAATATTTCACAATATTACTGTTTTTACTGGGATTTTTTTTTATCAAATATGACTCAAATCAACTCATTATCAACTAAACTTTTGAAAGGTACAATATTTTTTATATAAAATGTAGAAACTTTGTGGTTACGTGCCTCAAAGTGGATGAGATTTTTTTTGATCTCATATGTATTCTTGCCGTTTACTATACATGCATGCAACAAAATTTGATCTGTGTTACATCAACGTTTGAAATGTGAAAATAGTTAGATAGATAGATAGATACTCGCTCTGTGACAGTGTTATCTAACAGTTAACTGTGGTAGGATCTACTGTATGGTTTACTGTGGTGACTTACCCACAGTGGATGTAGCAGTGGTCAGAAGTGACTTCCCCCAGGAGCCCCAACTACTCCAGCCTTTAGATTTAGACTCATCCAGGGGCTAATAAAATCCACACAGCCAAAGAACAATCACAAAATAAAAATATGTTATGGATTTTGTTACATGGCGCAGACACAGATCAACCCTATTAAAAGTACCTCTGTTCCCTGTGCTTCTTCCTGTGTAACATCTGGATCCAAGCTCACCGAATCCACACATTCAGTCACCTGACCCTCAGATTTTTCTTCTGATGGGTGGACCTGCATCTCTTCAACACCTTTGGTTGTACTGTGCTCTTCTGCAGCCGCATTGGTTACGTCAGGGGCCAATGTGTCTAGTGAGAGTTGTGATATAGACGGGACTTCATCTGTATTGGCTGCAGCTACGGTGGCAGTTTCATCAGAGGCAGTCGGCTGGAGGGAAGGGGGAGGTTTTGTAATGAGGTCTTCCACGGTCTCATCTTGCGACATGGTGCTCTGATAAAAAATAGATAAACAAAGACAGTGTAATGAGAGGCAATGCAAACAGCTGGCCATGACTGGCTGTGATTGACAACAAACTAACTTCTGATTAGACAGCTGAGCTCTGATTAAGGTTTGCAAAATAACCAAAAATCGAGCAGTGACACAGATGATTAGGAAAACAGCGAAAAGAAAAAAATGATGTTGCTCTTGTGAAATATCAAGTCACATTATAAAAATACGTTGCTCAGACAGACTCATTTCTCAAAAATGCAGATATAAATTGGCTTGTTGTAGTGCATACAAAATAACTGGGTATTATTTAGGAGAGTAATGCTAATGGGTTGCTAATATAATTTCTATAATAATTTGGAATCAATCCTAAAAGGAGCAAGAACAATTTGATCGAGAACATTTTTTTGTTGTTGTT